AGCCTCTCCTTGGCTCCATCATTGCTTACCTTGAGTAAAGCCTGACCCCTTTGGCATAGCTTACAAGGCCTCTGTGATCTTGATTCTGCTTAGGTGTGTAGTTCAGGCTATTCAGATCCCAACTCTTTCATTTACTGTGTGACCTTGAGGATGTTAACTGTAAAATGGGGGATCAAATGATGTAATTTTCAATAAATGTTAACTATTATTTTAAATTATGATTAATATCCTTATTTATATGTCTTTGGGAAATAGTACTGTTATTTCCTTAAGATAAACTCCCAAAGTGGAATTACTGGGTATACATTTTTGAAGACTTTTGAAAATGTATCACCAAATTGTCCTGCAGAAGAGTGATACCAACTTATATTCTCACCAGTGGCATAAAGAAGGCCTGATTCTTCACACTCTTGACCCAAATCCTGGGATTAACCATTTCAACAACCTTTGCCAAATTGATAAGTGAAAAATCACCTAGTGTTTATAACTAATTGTGTCTATTTACATATTTACCACAGAAAGATCAGATATACACTGAAAACAGAGGGTGTTATTGCTATTTACTCTTTTTTGGTTGAACGTCTTAATTTGACCTCAAGGTTTTTCATCTCTTTCCAAGCTGGGATTTTATGTCTTTGAACACCATTACCTCCCTCTTTCCTTCCATTTCCCTAGGAATAAGCATGTCTTCATTTGAATCGAATGAACTAAACATTTAATTCCTATTAGACTTTCAAGCAATATATTTGGATTGAATGAATTAAACCACTTAATTCCTATGAGATTTTAAGGACTATATTTGGTCCAGTTTCTTTGTAAACCTTTAGATGAGGAGCACAGATGAGAGTTGGGAGGTCTGTTACTAAACCCAGTTTAATCCCTAACTAGCTGTGTATTCTAGGGCAAGCCATTTAACCTTTCTGGACCTTCACTTTTTTACATGTAAAGTGAATGGGATGGTACCAGGTAATGTCTTAGGTATCTTCTAGTTCTTACATTACATAGGTTAAATTTTTCTTCCATCAAGTTCCTTTGGAGCCAAACTCTTGGAATATTCCTTCTTACTCTGCTGCAAATATGCACTGCTCTCCTGAAACACAGTGTCATCTCTTTGAGGCAGAATTTGCTTCTTTGCAGAACTATGATTCATTTGTATGGTGCCATGAGCCCTAGGACAATAGCAGCAACTACCATCCAAAAAGCGCAGCCAAGACTTAAATGTAAAGTAGGTCACACTTATTTTGTGTATAACAAAACCATTTGAAAATCTGTTGAAAGCTAGGGATCTACTCACAGAAAAACACACATAAGCATATATGCACAAACTTTTAGGGTGCCCCTAGACCCTCTGAAGCCTATTATGTATTACCTATGGATGCATGAATGCTAGGCTAAGAACACTTGATTTGGGGACATTAAAGGGAACCCTGGAGATAAACCATTTTATCAAAAATGCTTTCTTCCTATTGGAAAAGGGAGCTGCTAAAGTCAATAAGTATTTATAGAATATTATTAAAACTCTTTTTAAAACCAAAATAATTGTGCTTACATGCTTAAATCTTTTAGAATAGAATGCAAACTCCTTACCATGCATTACAAGTTTCTACGCTGTGGTTCCTGCCCACGCTCGTTTTACATTTTTGAGCTCCACTTTTTTTTGCCCTCTCCTTTGCCCTGGGAACACACCAGCTCTTTCCAAGTGACTATCTTTTTGCTGAAGAGTCTCTGAGTGACCTGTTTCCTCTGCCCGGTGACTTCCCTGGTTGTTCTCCTTCAGGCCTCAGTTCAAATGTCCCCTCCTCATGAATGTGTTTGCCTATCACCTTTGTATCTATCCTCAAATCATTTGCTAGACACATTACCCAGTTTTTCCCTTATGTAGCCAATCTTGTCACAGTCCTGGCCATAGTTTTTGTTTATTTGCTCATTGTCTTCTCTCCCCAACAGAATGTTATTTCCGTGAGAGAAGAGGCCTTGCCTCTCTTATTTATATCTGTATTCCCAGAGCCAGGCACGGTGCCTGCACGTACTGGCCATAGTCACTTGATTACCGACTGTTAAATGAATGATTAAATTTTAGCCAGGGATGGATTAAAACCTTAAGAAGGTCTAATCATGAAAGATTATGGTGCTCCTCCTCCATTTAATTCTAATAAGTATTTTGGTGCTCCTCCCCCATATTTAACTCTAACTAAAAACAATAAATTAACCATATACTTATGTGTACTGAAGTGAAAATAGCTTATTTGTAGATTAATGATCTCATTGAAGGCATTGGAGCCCCTGCTTTGCTGGATGAATTTTGTCTATCTTTGAAGAATCTAGCACTCACTTGTCCCTTGAAACATGCTGGAAGCAGATTTAGGTTAAGTAAGCTTGTCTACATCTAGAAAAAACCTTGTGGCAATTTTGATAGTAATTATGTTCATCTATAGATCAATTTGGGGAGAATTTACATTATTTACTATATTGCTTCTTCCAATTTATGAATATGGTAAGTTCCCTCAGTTATCTAGGTCTTCTTTAATTTCTTACATCAGCATTTTATAATTCTCAGAATATAGATTCCATACATGGCTTGTTAGATTTATACCTAAGTATTTCATATTCTTTGGAGCAATTGTAAACAGTATTGTGTTTTTGTTTGTTGTTAGCATATGTAGAAGATCTTTTAGTAGAACAAGGAGAAGTACTGTTTAGTGAATTAAACTTGTTCACTGTTAACTTGGGGACTAGTAATAATCTATTTATCCTAATCGTCAAGGACCTCCATAACGTGCTTCTAAATCTCTTAAATTTAACCCAATTCTTAATCTTTCCACACAAATCTCTACTACGGTTAGAAGGGTCTACTTGTCCCTCACCTGAATACACCTTATTCATTCTACCTTGTGTCTTTGCTCTGCCATTTCCCCTTCAGAATTGTCCTTCCACTGAGCCATTTCACCCCAAGTTAAATCTTAACTATACTTCAAGGATGAGGTCAAAGCGTTCTTCAGCAGATGCCTTCCCTGGCAAACCCTACATTGCTCCTGTTCTCAGTTGGATTCTTTTAACCAGTATTGTATGCCACTCGATCATTCATTTAGTTTTGAATTAGTTTTAATCTCTATCTTGTTTTCCTAATTGGGTGATATACTCCAGTAAGGCTCCCATCATGGCTATCATAGAACCACAACACTTGGAAGGCACTCCAATTTAATTGTTGTATAGATGTAGAAATTTCAAGATGTGTCAGAGTCAGGCTGCTGAAGGTGCAGCATGTACAGGGTATTCCATAAATTCTCACGGAGTCTTTCACCCAGGCAGATCCATGCTCTCCACCACTAGGACAAGCATTCTCTCTCTTTTCCTTCCTTCCCTCACATCCCAGGCTCTCCAACTAAGCATGGATGGAGATTTGAAATGCAGATCCTTTCCAATTATTCCTTCAAAACTTCTAAAAGCGGCGGTCTACGGTTAGATTTTAAGAGATTTTTCTAGAGCTCAGAATAAGCCCATGGAAGCTGCAGTAACATCTCCTGGCCACCAGAGGACAGGGAGCAGCAGGAGAGATTTCTTCCCCTTAGCAGGAGTTTTAGAGGTCAAAGGCAGAAGTAGAACGTGGGCTCTCCATCTACGGCTTCCAGGCTTTTTTACTGATGGGCTCCTTTTCCTCCTCTAGAAGATGGGCTGGAAGTTCCCAGGGGCTTACCCCAGTACTAACCTTGAATGATTATCAATCATAATGAATGCACTTTAGTTGCAAGATATACAGGCAGAAAAGTATGGATATGTTTTATCTTCTTTACCCACCCCAAACCTGCTTTTCAGTTCTTGAGCCAATTAAAATAATCCCTTAGGCAGGGTCCAAATGGACATTCCACACAAAGATGCCTTTTGGGACCAATGTCCCAAATGCAGTACATTGCAAATGGAATATTTTAGGAGCTAGATTATTCCTACACATAAATTCTGGCTCGAGCAGTCCATTCGCAGTGTGCTTTTCCGTCATTAATCACATCTTTGTTATGTGATATCCACGTGAGTACTTCGCAGTAGAAGCAGCTTCATGCTCAAATGCTCAAAGAACACTGGAATAAAGCTCCGATTGTCCTATTCAGTGATTCCAAGTCCTGGTTTGTCACCACCTCAGGTCTCTAGTTTTTCAGAGTGTGTAATGTGTCTCAAAACAAAGGTATTGTAATTAATCCAAATAAAAAAATGCACAAAGTGCACAGAGTTAAATCCCAGGGTCTGGCACCTCTCAAGAGACGGTGAACCCCTGGTCTGATTTAAAGATGATTCTGCACTGCCCGATATAGTAAACATTTTTAAAGAGAATTTTTGGCTACTCGTACTCATTAAATTTGTAAATATAAATAAGAAAATATAGGCCAAGTAAAATAATAAATGTTAGGAACATTTATGTGGAGGCTTTCAGCGACAAACATAATAGGTAGCTGAATGTCTGAAAACACCAGTGTGATTTTTCTTAAAGTACCTGCAACTTCTTTTTCTTAACAGACGGCATTGCCCTGCATTTTGGATTCGTCAGACTTTTTAAAAAAGTGACTGTAATTCTCTCAAATCATTGTTTGTGTTTCTTCAAGCTGGTGAGGCCGCTGGAAACAGCCCAAGGAGGAGGAAAAGGCTCTGGGTCTTGATGCAGGGGAAACCCTTCAATACCTGTTGGGGCGCAGCGCTGAAGGCGCGCGGCCGGGGCGAGGACCGGGCGGGGAGGGGTCGGGGGCCGGGAGCTTGGGGGCGGAAGGAGGAGGCCGCGCGGCCGCCTCCTCGGGCAGCCCCGGCTCCTCCCAGCGGCGCCAGCGAAACCTGCCTCGGAGTCGCCGAACTCGGGAACGGAACGTGACCCGACCCCTCCCCGCGTTGCCGGAACGGGGCGAGGAGCAGCGCTCCGGGCTCAGGCAGCCGCGGGATGGGCGGGAGGGCGCGCGGCCCCGCCCGGCGCCCACCGCCCTGCCCTCGCCTGTCTCCTCCTTTCCCCCGGGCTCCGCTGAGTTCATTCACTGGGATTGGTTTCAAGTGACGCCATCTCTTTATTTTTAAACCAATGACCTCATCCGCGCTTGAAGTTTCCTGACCAGCGACTCTTTCTCTTTTTCCCCCAACCCCCCACTCCACCCCCCCGCCTTTCCCCCTTTTTCTGTGTATCACTGTTTGGGGGGGCTTTAGTCAGTTTTTAAACGATTATTATCACCCTCCCTCCCCTTTTCACGTTCTCCACGCGGCCCCCCACCTTCACCTCCCCAACTTCTTCACCCCTTTCAACATTGTTTTTTCAAGGCTGACTGGGGGTGGGGGGAGTGAAGAAAATTTGCAAACGTCTCCTTTCTTCCTAAGCCTCCCTCCCCCGCCCACCCCTCAGAAGGAGAAGATAATATAGTGAAAAGAAGACGAGGAGAGCGCGACGGGACGGACGCGAGCGGGAGCGCAGCCGCCCTCCCGGCTCCGCAGCGGCGCCTCGAAAGTCCGGGAGGCGAGGGGGGACCGAGGGGTGACGCCGTGACAACCTTCGTTTCCCCCACAGGGAGTCGGGAGGTCGGCGGCCCCAAAAGTAAGTGGCCTCGGACCGGCCGCGCGGACTGTGCGGGCGGGAGGGTGCGGGGCTCGGGGCGCCCGACCGCGCCGGTAGCATGGACGCTCCGCGGCTCGCCCCTACTCCGGGTGCCGGGCGCCGCGCTCTTGCCCCGCCGGCTCTGCCTTCCTGGGCGTCCGGGCCACCTTTTCGGAAGGGAGGGTGGGGGCCACCGCGGCCCGTAGCCACACGAGCGTTTGAAGCGGGGGTGTAGGCCTGGCTGGGGGCCGGGCCGAGCGGTAAGGGGGCGGGCGGCTGGGCGCGGGGACTCGGTCCTTGCGGGCCAGGCGGCCGGGTCCCGCCGCAAGCAGCAGCCACCGCGGGTAGCCGCGGTGCTAGCGCGGGCGAAGCTGCTCAGTTCCAGGCGCGTCTGTTACACAACACGCCTGCCAAATGGGGCCCCGGCCTGACTGTTCCTATTATCCCAAATTCGCCTTTGGTGTAAGCAGCGAGGCCACCTAGGTGGTGACGGCGGTGCTTTTTTAAACCAAACTAACCTACCAACAATTCAGTTTTTCATACTTGGGGCCGGAGTCATGATGTTGGGGGACCGGTGCGCCATTGACTTCTTTATTCACACTAGTGATAAAACGTGAGAAATAATTTTTAAAAAGCCCGGGTAGACAACCGAGAATCTGTTTATCAAGTGTGATTTCATGTAATAAAACACCAGGAAGGAAAATATTTAGGCAAAACTGGGGTTTACTTCCTAAAACACACACATACATCGGTAATTACCTTGAGAAAATATAAGTGGATCTTAAAATGAATGGATACTGCAAAATTCTAAACAAGATTATTAAACGCTGGTTGCAAAGATCATAAAGTCCTGGGTGTCTCAAATTGTTCGGAGAAAGCACACCTCCAACCAGCCTGTGATGAGTAAAGTGGGGAGGAAAAACCTGTTGCATAATCTCATTTGCCGTGGGGTTTGCTGTGCCGTCCCCCTTGAACGAAGGGGAAGTGAGTTAAGATGCAGGGTTTTAAAAACTCTCAAGTTTTTATTTACCCAGTGCTCTGGCTGCCACTTCTGCTTTAAAAGACTGTAAGTAAACACTCTGCTCTTAAAAATGAACCAAACCTATCAAACCTGTTTAGAAAATGAACAGGTATATTTCTTTTCTTTCTTTGGAGTGAGTGAGTGAGTGAGTGTATATGTGTGTGTGTGAGAAATTTACCATCCACGGAAGACCTTATGACTACTATTTGGGGAACTTAAGACTGTCAGAAAAATGCCTCCTTATGCTACTCATTTAATGGGGCTGATTGAGAGTGCACATAGGTGACATCTGTTTCTTTAAAGGATTGTACTGTTTTGAACTTCATCAAGAATAGAGATTTTTAAAGGTAAATTTTTAAAAGAAAAGAATTCTTACCAGTTGAGTTACTTTTTAATTATTTACTTTTCCTTGAGAGTCATGTATATTGGTGGGCACACAGCTTAGGAGACCGTAATTAATTAATTGAGATTGGTGGAGTTCTCTGGTGAGGGCAGCAACCTGGAGAAGTAAATTGAAAAGCTAAGAACTCAAGGCTCTATGTAGGTATTTCAGTCAAAATGTGACTAGGCAACTGTGAAAAAAACTTTAAAAAAAAATAAAGTTGTGGAACTTACTGAGTTTTAGGGCTATGTGGAAGACTGCTGTTAAAAAAAATTGGAGGGGGTGGTTAATATTTAACATCTTAGGTAAAAATTTGGGCTACATTACACCAGCTCAAAAGTTGGTTTTTAGGTAAAATAATTAGTATTTAGAAGGTTCCACATGGAGGAAAAATTAAAAATGAGTTTATTTTCAGTTCTGCCAGTAGTGTGTGACAAGTGTATGAAAAAAGTTGTCACAAGTACTATAAACCTACATTCAGATGTAAGATAATTGAGGATCTGTAAAGTGAAAATAGTCGAGTAAAATTGAGGATTAGGGGTCTCGTTGGCCAAAAGCTTAAGGTCAGTAACTGAAAAGGGGGTAAAAGAGAAGATCCTGTTAACCTACTCCTTTTTCTTATACAATGAAAACTTCTTTGTGGAAGTGAAGCAGAGAGGAGGTCTGAGGTGGGTACAGAGTTCAGGCTGAGATCAGAAGGGCTGGGGTTGATGTGTGAGTTTGTTTTGACGATATTCTCTGTATATGTCTCTAATGGGAATTGAATTCCATAGAGCTTTTGGTTTGTGGGATTATGTACTGATGAAGCTGATTTATATAGCTGTCCAGTATTCATGTTTTTCAACCAACCATAATATCCTACTAAAAGTAATTTGCTGGAATTACCAGCATAATTTATCCTAGAAATCCAATTTTTCCTGGAATATCTTTTAAAAAAGTGGAGTTTTCTATCCTGTGTTATTTGGACTAAAGTTTTCCCTGGACGTTTAATGTATTTTTTAAATGCTTTGCATTCTCAAGAAAATAGTACTTTAAATTGAAGTAAATTAATATAGGAAAGCTGATTTGGATCAAAATCCCAAGAAAAGGGAGAAAATAAATCAGGAGAAACAGAAACCAGATTTTATGACAGATTGGGAAAAAACTAGTTAAAAGAGCTTCATAGAAAAAAAAAATCACAGTTGATGCTTGATGGGCTCTTTTAAAAAATTAACTACATCAAAATTTAAAACCAAAACAGATATCCACCATCAAAAAAGAAAATGTTACTAATGTGGGCTTAAGTAAAAACATAATTAAGAAATTAAGTCTTGTCCAAAGCCACATATGATATATTCCAAAGCCAGAAGTTATTTTCTTCTTGATTTTCTTGTGTTGTAGGTAATTTGATATTTTTGTACATTTCATTAGCCCAGATGATCAAGAGTTGGCCATATGAAGGGATGAGGTTCATAAAATGTTGCCAGATTTAAAGAAGCAGGTTCAGGCCTTATGAAGATGCCATTCTCATACATAGACTAAGAAAAGGAGTGTGAAATGTAATCAAATAAATGATTGAACAGGATGAAACAGGAGTGGCTCAAAAAGAAGTATATACGGCAGATTACCAAAGACAGATACAAAGGAATAATGAAAGCTTGCCAGGGGTATGGTCAATAAAGAAGGAAATGGGATACATCTTGGCATGAAAGGAAAAAGGCATAAAGGGGAAAAAATACCCTCCTACCCCTCAGCAATAAGAAGAGGGTAATGAAACTTCACCTCTTTCTTGATTGAGGTTAGATAGGTATCACCAAAAAGTCACAAGATTCTTTTATTACATAAAAATTTTAATTTGGGGGGAGGGAGGATGGATAAAGTAAATTATGAGCATAAGTTATAATTATATGAACGTGTAAAACTTGAAATTGCCAAACATTTAAAATAGAGGGGGACCCACAACAGTTTCAATTGAATAATTGGAAAGGAAGGGATAGGTTATAAAAAGTTGACACTATTAATTTATTCCTAAATTAACTACGGATATAAGTCAGTCAAGCAAAAACACTTATTATTGGTATACTATTTACTGTACTGAGGTGGATACCAAAAGTTGGGGACCTGGGTCCATGCCTTTAATAAGGACGGGATTATTAGTATTTTAAAGGAGGTATGTACTTATGCAAAGATAAAACAATGATCGGACAGCAGGGAAGTGCCAAATTCGTGGTACAAAGGAGAAGGAGATGGAAGGATTAGGTGAGGTAATCTTCATAGAGATAATGGAATTTGACCCTGGCTTTAAAGGCTCATCAACATGTGTATGGACGAAAGGAAGTAGGGAAGGTCAAAGAAGGAGGCCATTCATCCATCTCTTCATTCAGCAGATTTATTTGGATTCCGTATTATGTGCCAGACGCTGTTCTAGGAACTGGGCATAGAGTGGAAAATAACAAATTCTTTACCCTTACGGAACTTGCGTTCTAGTGGGAGAAGATTGAAAGACAATGATCAAGTAAACATTACTTGGAAAATGTGATGTCAAGTGGTGATGTTTTGTGAAGATAGTAATGAGCAGGGTCGGGAAATTATAGAAGGCCAGTTACAGTCCCAGTTATTCTGTGAATAACCTATTTTGCCTCTGATGTAATAATGTTAATAATATAACAATATTTATTTGCAGTCCAAACCAGTTTGAAAAGAAGTCTACACATTAACTTCATCTTTAAACAATTTTTAAAAAAGAAACCTACAAAATGTTTTTTAGATTGAAGCATATAAGCTTTGAGTTTTTTAACTCCTCATTAACAATTTATCTACTTTTTTCTTTTTGCTGCCATTTGCTAAACTTGTTTTTACAGTGAGGTTAATATCACTGTTTACAATTTACTTACAGTTGTGATGTATTGGGCTTTATACTTAGAGTCTCCATTAGGAACAATGTCACAATAGTGCTATAAAGTAAAGCTAAGGACAGTTTGTTTTGATGGTACCTTGTATGATTGCACGGGAAACAAAAGGTGTATAGGCAGTGTGTGTAAGCTATTTGGCTTTATTACCAGATGGGTAAAACACATTAAAAGGTCTCTGGGTCTTGTCCATATGGTATGGGAATAAAAAAAGTAAATTTGGAGTATGTTGTGTTCTGTGTGCTTAATTATGTCTCCTTAAAGATTTGTAGGGGAGTTAGTGGTCTCACTGGAAATACTGTCTTAAACTTGGGGTTTTTACTCTCTATAAATAGGACAAGCCTGGAGCAAAGTGCCAGTTCTGAAATGGGGAAGTCTGGATTCTTACTGCAGGTATCCGACGGCCCTGCTTTGTTGTTGAGATGATGTCCTTTTCAGTGTCTGCTAAAAATTTCTCGATGACTATTTCTTGTTTTTGGACACATTGATGAAGTACTTCTCAAGCATTCTTGGAGAAATATGGTCCCTCCCCTTCTCTACTCTTTCTGTGATTTTAAAGATAAAAAAAATTGTAGGTGAAATTGAGGTAAAGGATTTATATTAAGTGTGTGTATCTATAGAACCAAATCTTTGGACAATTTTTCTATACACACGTAACCAATTTTCATATACAGTGCTTTCTGATGCACTTGGGTAAGCATATGGAAAAGGAAGTTCTTAGAGGAGGTAGGGATACTTCAGCATTCTCTTGATTTTCTTCTAAACTAAATACTCCATTTAGAGAAGGATTATAGATAGGAATGCTGGGAGTCTATGGTGTACGTGATAAAAGCTAATGTGACATGTATGCTTCAAAAATATTAGGGAAGGACAGTAAAACTCAGATTTGTTTCAGTGTCTGAGAAGTGTTTCAGGGTGAGAAGTGGGGCAAACTGATTTTCAGAAAAAAGATGCACTATAAATTGTAATGGTATATGGCAAGGTAATTAATATTAAAAATCTTTATTATTCCCCTTGAAATTAATGGGGAAAGACCTATGTAGAGAAGTATATGCTACTTATTGTTTGCACTGTATAAATTAATAAGCCCAAACAGCTATTCTAGGATATTACCTGGTAGAGTTGGTTTTAGATGTATGTGTACCGAATAAATTGAATTAATTTTCACAACTGTTTCTTTTGATCGTGGCTCTATTACACGTCTAGCTTAAAGCCCTGATTTTTAAGGTTTGAGTTGCAATCTGAAGGGGGTTGGTTGCCTTCCAGCCTTGAGCATGTACCTGACTTGTTTGCACAGCATGCTCACTCTTAAACCTGGACCCTGACCTCCAGCTTGCCTGACCTTGTGACTGACCTGACCTCATTTTTTTTGAAATGTCAGGTGGTTGTTTCCTATCAGCTTCTCTTCCTGAGCAGCTGAGCTGTGTCCTCTTCTTGTTACTTCTCAGAATACTGAAGTGTCACAAGTCTGCCCTATTTTGTAGTGGGTTTCTTTTTTTGTTTGTTTGTTGTTTGGTTGGGGGAGGGGAAGAAGATAGTTCTTCACTTTGATTTGTAAACTGCTCATGGTTTTATTTCTTCTTCCTAGCTTATACTAAAAATCTTGTTTTCCTTGAAAATGAATTGGTAAGAATCATGCTTTGATGATAAAAACTAACAGACTTTTTTGGGGGAGACAATCAGGAAATTAGAACATGGAGTGTGTATTAGGTGGTATTTAAGAATTATAACCATAAAAGTTTTTTTCAATCTATATTAATGGAATTGTGTTAATGTTAAAAAAATCCTCATACGTTAAAGGTACACATAGAAGTATTTATAGGTAAAATGGAGGCATAGGTAGACACACTTAGCCTCCTTGTGCAACCATAGAAAAACTTACAACCAGATTTCAAATCTAATTACACCTGGAACCATCAGAAAATCAAGGTGTATGGAAGTCCAACAACCAAGGATTCAAAGAAGACATTCATCCAGAAGGGTAGGCGGGATGGAGCCGCCGAGCCAGGCAGAGAGGATGTGGTGTGGCGCAGGAAGGCAGCGGTGGTGGCGGGCTGGGCTGGAGGGATACCTTGGGAGTGAGTGATCCCAGCCTCAAGCCAGGCCGCACAGCCCGGGGTTCCAGTAATAGGCTCACATTACCTGGCTGGCCTGCAACCCAGGCATGTGCCCTGCCTGGGAATTGAACTGGCAACCCCACCAGTTCGCTGGCTGGCACTCAGTCCATTGAGGCACACCAGCTAGGGCAAAAACAGAATCTTAAAAGCAGTAAGGGAAAAGCAGAAAGTTAGCTCCAAAGGAGTTCCCATACGACTATCTGCTGATTTCTCAAAAGAAACCTTGCAGGCAAAAAGAGACCGGCAAAAAGCATTCCAAGTGATGAAAAGCAAGAACCTACCACCCAGATTACTCTGTCCAGCAAAACTATCATTTAGAATTGAAGAGGAGATAAGTGCTTCCGAGACAAGGGGAAACTAAAGGAGTTCACCACCACCAAGCCATTGTTACAGGAAATGTTAAAGGGACTTACTTGAGAAAAAGAATATAAAAACCATGAACATGAAAAAGGCAACAAATTCACAACTTTTAACAGCTGAATCTAAAACAAACTAAGTAAATGAGAACGGACAGAATCATAGATGGGGAGATCATTTGGAGGGTTATCAGCTGGGAGGGGGATGGGGAGAATGGGGGAATGGTGCAGGGATTAAGAAGCATATTTGGTAGGAACAAAATTGATAGGGGGAAGTTAATAATAGCATAGGAAATGGAGAAGCCAAAGAACTTACACTCATGACCCATGAACATGAACATGACAAGGGGGAAGGATTGCTGGAGGGAAGGAGGTTATCAGGCAGAGGGGGGCAAGGGGGGAAAAATTGGGACAACTGTAATATAATCAACAAAATATACTTAAAATCATGACTAATATTTATTTTAAAAACTACAGCATAAGCACAAAGAGTATTGGCAAATTTTTTATTATTGTTAAAGCTGGGTAATAGGTACATTGGTTTGTTACTATTTTCTGTACTTCATGTATATTTGGAAATAGTCATAATTAGTTACAGGAAATGTTAAAGGGACTTACTTGAGAAAAAGAATATAAAAACCATGAACATGAAAAAGGCAACAAATTCACAACTTTTAACAACTGAATCTAAAGCTAAGCAGATGAGAACAGGGACAGAATCATAGATGGGGAGATCGTTTGGAGGGTTATCAGCTGGGAGGGGGATATACTATACTATATCCCCATACACACACACACACACACACACACACACACACACACACTAGTATAGTATATATACTATTTACGCTGATACAGTTAAACTATGCATTACCAAATTATAACTGTAGGGGAAGAAATTTAATGCAGTAACTTTATGTGAATGGACATTTGAGCTAATTGGCTAATCAAAAATCTTCACTTTACATTTTTAATATTCTGCTTTTAGTAATAAATTTTTAAGAAGGGAGAATTTTGTAAAAATACAGTCATTAGAAATGTTTAAAACTCTCTGAGACCTTGTAGTAATATACCTGTAGTTTATAAGTTGCTTTTTCATGTTTTGTCTTCCATCCTCAGAACAAGACATGAGTTATCCATCTTACAGATGAGAAATCTAAGGCCTTGGAGAGACTAAGTGATTGATCCAAATCTCAGAGCCAGTAAGAAGCAGTGCTAGAGCAGAGCCAAGATCTTCTGATTCATTTTCAGGTGCCCATTCTCTTAAACATACATTTTTATAAGTGCTCTTTTTTAACCTACCGTTTTCAAAAATTTTGGTGCTTTAAAAATTATTGAGGACCCCAAAGATGTTTTGTTTATGTGGATTATGTCTACAATATAGAGCACGTTAGAAATTAAAACTGAGAAATGTTTGAAATGTTCATTTAAAAATCATAAATTCATTAAAGGTTAACTTAGGTAACATACTTTTATGAAAAATGTATTTCAAAACAAAAAAATACAGTGAGAAGTGTGATGTTTTATGTTTTGCCATTCTCTTTAATATATTGCTTAATAGAAGGTGGATTTTTCAGTACTGCTTTTATATTCAATTCTGTTGTTTGTGATATGTTTGTTTGAAATATATAAAGAAAACCCAGCTGTACACAGATACATAGCTGAAAAGGGTAGATGAAGTATTTCAATATCTTCTCATGTAATTTTGAGTATTTTCTGTTACATCAAAACTCAAAAAGTGGTAGATTCTAAAGGTTAGTTGCAGTGTCAACTCTGAAACCATATCAGTGAATATTTGTGCTCTTTCAGATTAAAAATCTATTGGTTCATCTTGCACTTTGAATGGACCTTTGTGTGTGTGATTTTATAACAGCATATACTGGTCATTTGAAAAAAAAAGGTTTACTGAGTTTGCAGATTTTTCACATGTTGATATCTTTGCTTATACAAATCACAAATTAATATGACCATTAATCTCATCAAAAAAGTCTTTAAGAATTGGAAAGCAGTCAAGATATTTGTTGAGTTCATTTTCCATAAATCTATTTTTTTCTCAAAAGTTCAAATTTTATCATTGGTAGCAAATATTGTTACTTTTTCTTTGAAGCATCAGGCTCACTTTATTCATTTTAGAGAAAATATTTGCCAAATGCCCGAGTATGAATAAACTATTAAGTTGTCTGTCAGTCATTCTCTTAAGCAAAAATGGTATATACTATGAAAGAAGTATGTAGTTTAGCTCACAGCTCAATTGCATATGTGTATTTCTTAAGCAGCTATTGCATTAGGTATGTAGCAGAAGGAATTTTTGTGTGTATTTCACATTTTATCACACAGAATGTTAAAAAGAACAAGTTCTCAAGAGTGAGATTTAATAAAATTAATAGCTTATTTTATCAAACATTGTTAAGTGAAACTGGCTTTTTAAAAATAATTGATAGACAGTGAAGAATATAATTATTACTGGTACAGTTTTGTTACCCTGCCTTGATTCATGCTAAAGAGCTAGCATTTTATATGTTGCTTTTGTATCACCAGAGCAGATACCAACATGATTGTTTCAGCATAAATCATGAGATTCAAAGTTATTTAATACTTTGAGTAATTCAGCAGTACTTGTGTTTGTTGCCAAGCTTTCACATAAAAGAAAACCTTTTTCGATGGTTAGTTGGTGTGGATACTGGGATAATAAAAACAAAACAGTAAGTCCATCCACATCCATGGATTTGTCCACTTACAAAGCGAAAGTTGTATCCTTGAGGCGAAATATTAACTTGTCGTTCATGTTAGCAGTAAAATATTTTATTTGATGAGATACTGCATCATTGGTAAGTGGCATTGCTTTGATTTGTCATACTGACTTTCCATCCAGCAGACATTCAGCAGTGTCAACCATACAAAGCTTTATTAGTTTCTCAGCCATTGTGTGCGCTGCTTCAACCAGTGCAGTCTGATCATTTACCCTGTGTGAAGTGTCTGCAGCGTCTTCAGTTCTGATTTGAAAATAGTCTTTTGCTTTTCAGGAGCTCATCATGTCAGTGTTTAAAACATTCAATTTCTTTATCTTTCAGTGAATTCATTTGATGATAAGGAGAATAAAGATTATAGCAGGTAGTGTCAAAGATTGCTATGCTAGGAAATAGAAGTAATGAGAACACACTGAGTTAATTTCTTTAAAACATGCATGTTTATACCTTAAATTTGCTACCTTAGAAAATTCTAAGAAACAGAAGAGTTTACAAGCATAAGTTTCATTAGCTGCGATCATCACTCACCATGTGTCGTCTGGGTTCACTGCTGTACACTCAGGGGATAATGAGAGCGAAAAAGGGAAATAACATCTTTGTTTTACTAAATATAATTTTGACACTGTGAATCTCCTGAAAGGGTCTCAGAGACCTCTGGATCGTACTTGGAAAATGATGATATAAACTAGTGCGGTATCCTAATACATTTTTAGAGTAGTCTCACATGGACATCTATATCAGTACAGTGTTGTTTCCATTTTAACTGAGTAATTTACAAGAAAGAGGGGAATATGCTAGTCTGTGGGCAGAGCCGTGTGACCCAGAGGCCACGCCAGTGGAAGGTCGTGTATTGTCAGTGAGTGGTGGGGTAAAGGGAAAACGGGAGGGGTGGCAAAAGCCCTTTACTACAACTTAAACAATGAGCTTTTGCTTTCCCTGTGTTTTTCTTTTTGAACTAAAAAAGCACTGAGCCCACATGTGTACAAAATACAGTGTTCATACTCATTTATGTCAAGATTACTCAACCATTTTTTCCTGGAAGGAAAATGGGAGAGATGCTACCATACTGGAGGGGAGAATGGATGCTCATGGCAGTTTGTTCCTTCCAGCTAAGGAGGCTGTTGATCTTTTTCTTTGTGGAAGCTGAAGGATGACAGGAGACACATGAGGTTGGAAAGAAGAAATTGAGAAACGGGGGGAAATGGAGTAGACGCTAATGATGAGGGGAACAGCTGTAGGCAGAGGGGCTGTGGACGGAGGGTGGAGGTAAGCACTGAGGGCAGAGAGGAAGCCTGGGGTGAACGGGGCTCTCCTGTGCACTGCGCAGGAAGAGCGGGGCCCAGGGAAGAACAGGGGTGGGTGAAGCAAGAGTCATTGAGATGAACATCGTTTGAAATATTTCCATCAAAATGTGGTTAAAAAAACTATTTAAGTAACAGCACTGGATAGTCTGACTTTTAACGTCTTAGCAATATTCAAATTCTGTTATTTTAACCAATGGGAAAAAACAACAATGCCATGAGTTTGTTGTAGTGCTGGTAAATCTCGAAGCTTTGGTTATAAGCATCAGTATTATGAAAATATCGACTGGGCCAGGATTGGGGCTATAAATTCAAGATGAAATTTTAACACTTTATTTTTTACTGACAGACAAAGGAGACAGAAGAGTTTAGTTAAAAAAGATGTATCATTCATCAGTTTGTTGTTTATGTGGTACTTAATTCCAAAAACGATTTGAGATGGCAGAAGCAATGATCAAAGTCAATAATCAAAAACAAACATGATCTAAATTATGTTTTTTCCCTAACAGTTTCTCTGCTGATGACATTTATGTTAATAAGGTCATCTAGTTGAGATACAAAACTGTAATCAAACTGGTCTCTGTCAACTATGCAGGAGAAATGTAATCCTGACATTTTTTAGTTGCATGTAATATAAAGAATGTATGTGTGTAATGGCAATGAGATTGGGCAGGAAAATCATAGCATGCCACAGGAAAAAAAATTTTTTTTAAATTCAGGACTGCTTTCAGCTGTAGTTCACAGAAAGCTACCAGCAGAGGCTTAAACTATGATGTACTTTTTTGTGCAGTTCAGAGAAGTTTAGAGGTAGGCGGTTTCATGGTTGGCCCAGCTGCTCAGCCATGTCCCCAGGTTTTCTCCCATCTTTGATTCTGCTTTCGAGTGTTCACTTCTGCCTCAGCTTTAGGTATCACATCCCTTTTTCAAGGCTAGAAGGAGGCAGGACACAGATCAAGCAATCCTTCCTCCTGTGCTTGCCTGACAGAGAACAAACTCTTTCTCAGGAGTGTCCATTCAGTTTTCTCTTCAGTATCATTTACCTGAACTGTTTCACAAGACACCCCCCCCCCCCCCCCCCACCCTCGACTCACAGTAGAGACTTGGGAAGTGAGTGTGTGGCTAAGTGGAACGGGGTTTCCATGGTTGGTGTCATGGGCATCATGTATCATTTCCTGGGCTTCCATTGCTTGTTGCCCAGGAAAAACTGGTATTCAGCTTGCAAGTTAAAGGGGAAGAAATGTCTATTGGGTAGCTGGTTGATTGTGTGTCTGTCACAGATACGCAAAAAAGGAAGCACAAAAGGTATTAAGTAATTTGTTAAAACATTTTTTTAGTCTGGAGACTGTTTTAAGTGTTCCCCACAAACAAGGCCACATCCATTTTCTTTCTTTTGGTGGGAGGTTATGCAGACTTATAACCCAATTAATTGTAGAGCTAATTTAGAGACAATAAGGTCTCAGTTTTCTCAACTCTGAAATAGGAATATTGTGTTACATAAAATCTCTGAGGTGACTTCCAGTTCTAAAACACTTTTTTTCCTTGTCTTTTGACCATTTTACATTTTACTAACTTTTTTAATTAAAAAAAGTATACAGGATTAGAGAGACGATATGAAAATGGTGTTTTTTAGTCATCTGTTTAAAAATTTTTAATTTTAATTTTATTTTTTATGTGCCCCAGGCATGAAACAGCTCTGGCCACCAACACAGGCATCAAGCGAGGGCGCACTAAGGACTTGTTTTTTGGCCATCGTGACAGCTTCAGTATCTTCAGTAAAGATCTTGATGGTATAGAACAGTGATTTTCAACTGGTGTGCTACAGGGATTTTCAAAACATTCAATACCTGACTATTTAGTCAGGGGCACTAACCTCTTTTCCCTTAAATTATCAAATAAGAAAATGACAGTGGCCAACATAACAATAGCTGTCCAATGTGAATGAATCAAAATTATGCCTATTTTTGGTCATATATTTTTTGCTGTAGAAGTTTAGTCATTAGTGTATGGGTGCCATGGGATGAAGAAGGTTGAAAATCGCTGGTATAGAAAGGTAAAGCTAGAAATAGATTTTGGCTCAGCTTTAGGTATCACATCCCTTTTTCAAGGCTAGAAGGAGGCAGGACACAGATCAAGCAATCCTTCCTCCTGTGCTTGCCTGACAGAGAACAAACTCTTTCTCAGGAGTGTCCATTCAGTTTTCTCA